AAAGGCTTTTGACACCATTGACCATGCAATTTTGTTACATAAACTTGCAAACTATGGACTTGATCTGGGTTCCCTACGATTCTTTGCCTCCTACCTAGGTAACAGGAGCCAGAAATGTTATGTTAATGGCGTATTGTCCAGTGCAAGCGAACTAAGATGCGGAGTCCCACAGGGTAGTATTCTCGGTCCTTTGTTCTTCTTAATCTATATAAACGATCTTCCAAACTGCCTTAATTCAGCATGCGCTAAAATGTTCGCAGATGATACAACTATTACCATTTCTGGTTCCTCTCTAGCTGACCTTGAACAAGAGACTAACTTAGAACTACTGAACCTTCACTGTTGGCTAAAAGCCAATAAGCTTAGTCTTAATGTTGCGAAAACCGAGTTTATGGTTATTGGCTCTCGCCAGAAGCTTCTCGCGGAAAGCCATAACGAAATAAACATCAAACTAGAAGACCAAGTTATCAGCAATGTTGATCACGCAAAATCATTAGGTCTCATTATTGACAATCGGCTTTCCTGGTCTAATCATGTTAACGAATTGTGTAAGAAGGTAACTTCGGCTATAGGTGCCCTTAGACGTATTAGGCCCCTTATCTCCCAATCTACTGCGGTACTAGTCTATAACTCCTTAATTCAACCTCACTTTGATTACTGTAGCCTTGTTTGGGATGGCTTAAGTGATAAACTGAGTGACAAATTACAAAAGTTACAGAACCGTGCAGCTAGAGTAATTTTAAAGGCCAACTATGGGACTAGCTCGAGCCTGCTTCTTGATATACTCAAATGGGACAAATTAGTTATAAGGAGAAAGAAGCATAAAGCAATAATGATGTTTAAATCTCTAAATGCACAAGCTCCAGTGTACTTGCAGAACCTATTTCACGAACGAAGCACAGACTATGATTTGCGCAATTCCTTTCATAAATTGACGTTGCCCAGGCCGCGTACTAACTACTTGAAACGAAGTTTCAGTTACAGCGGTGCTTTGTTGTGGAACTCTTTACCCGAAAATGTGAGAGAAACTAAATCAGTCAGGAAATTTAAAGAGCAAATCAAACATGTATTTGAGTCGTCGGACTCTCACTCGGCAGTCTTGTAAAACAGTATGTCGATAGTTTTTAGTCTAATTAATTGTGATTAGATTTTTACTCTATTATTACTGAAGATTTTACCGAGTTTTAAATAAATTATCTACCTACCTACCTGTCTGGAGTAATACCAGCAGCAGCAACATTGACAAGTTACAGAAAGTCCAAAACTTTGCTGGACGAATTATTCTGGGACTAAGAAAGTATGACCATATTTCGGATTGGTTGCGATCGTTGAAATGGCTTCCTATTAGAGAGAAACTCATTCTAAATGACGCTACTATGATGCACAAATGCGTTAACAAGCTTGTTCCAGACTATCTTGCTGATATGTTTAAATCACGTTCTCAAGTCCATAATTGACAAACTCGATCATCTGGTTCTTTGGATATACCTTTATGTCGCCTGTCAACAGGGCAGCGCTCCTTTGCTTTCAGAGAGGAGCCAAACTTTGGAACTCCTTGAATGATAATATTAAGTCCTTAAAATGCCCCAGGAATTTTAGGCGTCATCTTGCAAATGTTTTATTAAGTTGATATATTTTATGTAATTATAATATTATTGTACTTACATTCTTAATTAATTTATATAAATTTGTATATTTTATTCTATTGAGCTGAAAAGCCCACTTAGGGAGCATCAATAAAGTGTATGTATGTAATGCAGCGGAACCGGAAGGCCGAAGACACCGAGACTGCGCATGAAAGGCCTCTGGCACCCAGGGTATCTGTCCTTACGCCCTGCTCTTATTTTCAGTCTCGCCTTGACTAAGTTGACCCGGCTGGGGCGCTGGGCGAGCAAGAGTATGGCGAAAAGTTGGCCCGGCTAGGAGACCTAGGAGGCTAATGACGCTACCATCACAACAGGGTGACCCCCCTAGCCCAACTTTTTGTTTCTCACGTGAACGGCTCGTCAGGTTTCTTAAGGACATGTGAGAAAAGTTGACTCGCCCAGAGTAGCTCGGGTAGGCGGGTGACCTTTCCGCCCGGTGTGTGGGTGTCAAGCAATCTTTCTTCGGACAAACAAGTGACTGAACAGCGTGCGAAAGCCAACAAACTCCTCGGCTCTGTGCGCCGAGCTTCTAGGTACATCCAAAGCACCCAAACACGTCGTACACTTTATCTCTCTATCGTCCGGCTACGCGCGCAACCCAAGTATGGTCGCCACAGTCCATTGGCTTCCTAAAGAGTGTTGAAAACTAGCAGCGCCGTGGAACAAAACTAATTTTGAAGCTTCCCGTCCGTTGCGATGTAACCTATAAGACCCGCCTCCAACTAACAAATCTGTTACCTCTATCTCATGCTGGCATGAATGTTTGGATATAGTCTTTTTCTATAAAGCTGTTAATCAGACTTAGTTTTCATAGATAGTGAAGCTCTGCCGGCAACTAGACAATCAACGAGATCTACCAGGTCATCGAGTAGCAATGCCGTTACTTATAACTTTAAGTGAAGTTGAACTGTTATTTATCAACGCTCATTTTTCATACGCGCGTGCTGCACATGGAATGTTCTGCCCGCTGAGTTACGCACAAGTCACATCTCTCTAGCCTCATTTGAGCGTTCACTATTTCAATATTACAATGAGGCTCTGAACCTGTACGACGTTGACGACGTCAGAACCTGGAGAACAATCTGTCCCAGGTGTAACATGGCGAGGACTCTCCTGTGCCCGCCGACGTGCTGCTTCCTAGCAATTTGAACTTCTGTTTCGTTTCCTTTTAATTTTTGTTGTTTATATATCAGTAGCTTTAGTTATTAAGTTACTATTATTATTATTATTATTATTATTATTATTATTAACGAGGGATCCACTGTAATTGGTTAGGTTGTAGTGGTCTCCCTGCCTGATAATTTTTATGTATTCATGTATAAAGATTGTATTCTAGTTAGGTGAAGCTAAATAAATACTTTTGTAAATAAATAAATAAATAAATAAATAAGAGAACTTTCCTCCATATAAACGGAACCTTGATTTACAATTTAACACTTTATGTACCTTATGTGTGAATATTCATTCTCGGTCTCTTGTTTTTCCGCGCTCGAGTAAGAGGTCGCTGAGCTTCAACGTTTCCTTGAAGTTTCGGAGCAAAGAACGAGGAACTAGAGTCAAACACCGCGTGAAAAATGGCGCCACTAACAGGGCGGGGAGGGGTGGGGAAGAAAGGAAGGAAACAGCTTTTGCTTCCTTCCCTTCCCCTCCTTCATTTTTTCGCTCTCGTTCCATTTTTCGCGCGGCCAAAACCGGAAATCTCGTTCTTCGGTCTTTCTTTGCTGCGAAACCAGGAAACGCTTGCTATACAGGCTACAAGGTCAGCTGTTATGAAGGGCCAAGATCAAGGGTGACAGTGGGGGTAAAGATAAGGGTAAGACTAGCGGTGAGGGTGAAAAAAAGGGTAAGAGAAAGAAGAAAAGCTAAAGGAAAAATAAGGAAGAATGGCTGGTCTGATTTCAACATTGTTTCTGTTCGTCTGAGCTGCCGACAGCTTGGCTTCCCAGGCCTTCTCGGTCAATGCATTTCGGTGACGTATCTGAAATGAACTCATAATCTCGCTTGGAACACATGACCCGATTCATGACCCGAAGCGCATTCGTAATTTTTTGTCGGAAGTTTCATCAATACAAGTGAAAGCCCTCTAATTATTCAAGGTATTGTCTCCAAGTTTCATTTTCACGGGAACAGCGCGTAACAATAACTAACAAAGCATTTAAAATATTCAATAATGCTAGCTATTGTTGTGCACGAAAACATGAACCTTGGAGACAATACTCTGAATAATGAGAGGCTCCTCCTTGTAAACACAAAATTTCCGACAAAATATCAGCGAATTGTAGCCCTTATTTTACTGCCTTACAATCTATCAATAATCTTGAAACTAAGAGGTCATATAAAAGGAAGGTTAATCTCAAGAATCTTAAATTTTTAAAAAAATCTATCACGCGGTTTAAAAATTATTTGCTAATTTGCTAAAGTAGACCAAAATGTTTACAAACCGCTAACAAGAGTGCCTGGATACATACTAATCAAATCCTTCTTTCTAGCAATCGGCTGGAGCTATCTCCATGATCTTTCACACACGTTTTTAAAAAGATTGAACCTACTATGAGGTGAAATTGCATATCAAAAGCGCTTCGTTTTCTACAGAAAAAAGCTGAACATCAAGATTGTCCATTTTTTACCGTATTTCTAACCATAAGAACAATATAACGCTCTTACAGATTTCGCTTAAACTTCACGAACATAGAGACGGCTATTCGAGGAAAAAGCTCTCGTAAGCGAGTTTGGAAGAACAGTTCCCAGTGCCGAGGTATACTGCTGTAAGTAAAATAGGTAACAGCGTCATTTCGTTGCTATGACAACTCCGATGTCATTGCAACACTGATCATAACAAATTATCATCTTTATTTAATACAACTGTGGTGGCAATTTTTCCAAATGTTTGTCTATGGCGACGTAGTTTATGCTCAAACTTGGGAGGTATTGACCCTGAAAAACCGTATCGAGCCACCTTCAAACTACGGTACACAAATTTTATCATTGTTGGTCTGTTTAATTTGGTATTCATCTTCTATCACATGCTGACATTTATTCGTTATATCGAGGTAAATGTTACGTTTGCGCTTGTGGATTGTGTTCGTTATAACGAGGATTTCGTTAAATCGAGGTTCTGTTCCATACATTTTACTGTAATTTTGGCCGGGCTGAAGAAAATCGTTCGTCATAACGAGGCCTTCGTTATATAGAGGTTTGATAATTCGAGGTTCCACCGTATGTGAACAGGGCACGATTTTGTCAATAGAAAGGGTACCATTTCTGTCAAAAATGGTATATAAAAACGCTAAAGAGTTGGACCTCGGGTCGGAGGCTCCCTGTATAAACTTTATTGAATAGCCCCGCCCCCAGAACCTAAAACAATTGACTTGTCCATGTTCCGTCAGCATTAACCTTATAATTGTCTTTCGTGTAATCCATCACGTGATACTTCCTTTTCTCAAGCACGTATTTAAAAAGGTTGTCGTAAAGTGGACTCAGTCGATCAACTCCAGCCAGCTGTGCAATGACACCGTTATAATCTCCCCTTGTTCCTGTACGATGAGCATGGTGTTCAGGCATACCAAGAGAGAGTCTCTCCTGAAAATCTTGTTCTTCATCAGCATTCATCTGATCTTCAGATGGCAAGCTCTTTCGTCCACTTAACACTGATGCAATGTATTGAGCTTGAAGACTAAAACGTGCAAATCCGCAGGAAAGGGAGCACACCCCGATGAAAGACAGTGTTGGGTGTTTTGTATTAAAAATGTGTTTGTATAAATGAGTCACCCGATTGTTCCTGACCTGAATACTACAGTCATCATGCAGGAATGGAAAAGAAAAAATGTAACCAGTGCACAATAAGATGCAGTCAACTTTCCTCTCTTGTCCATCCTCAAACAGGACTGTTCCATCCACGCTGATAGACATTATTGGCCTTTGTTGTTCCACATTTTCTGGAAGTTTGGAGCAAAGACTTCCTTTATGGCTGAGGTAAACTTTTTCTGCACAGTTTGCTACGTTGAGACAAATATCTACACCAGAAGACCCAGCACCCAAAATAACCAGATGTTTTCCTGTAAATACTTCAGGATGTCGATAATCATGACTGTGCATAACAACTCCTGGGAAAGACTCCATACCAGGAATTGCTGGCAAACGAGGAATAGAATAATGTCTGTAGACAAAACGATTCAAATGAAATTATATATATTCTTGATAAAAGCCTGTTCCAGGCGTTCAGATGGTGGAGTACGGCATGAAGCCAGAAAGCGGAGTAAAAAATAAGGAGGAGTTAATCGGTGTCTGTATTAAGCGGCCGGTTACTTTTAAAGAAAATTAATTCGAGCTGTTGGTTGGGACAAATGAAACTGTCCATTATTATTTGTATAAAGGTATCCCTAGTAAGTTGGGGGGAGTAGAGTGATGGTTAGAGAAGGGTGCACTGAATTCTTTAACCCTTAAAATAGATTACAACAAACATTACAAAACCTTTTTAAAAAGCTGGGGTGTTTCTGCAAAACAAGGATATATTGTTAAGAACACATTATACATTAAATGCAACTTACCCATTGCAAACAATAACAGCATTAAACTGTAGAACTTGAGATTCTTTTGTATCAACATCTGTAACAACAACCTCCCACACAGGCTGGTGACTGTCTTCACCTATCAATGGACGGACACTGTTTACAACAGAATTCAACTGAATGTATTTGTACAAGTCAAAATGACTGGTATAATCTTCTAAGTATTTGAGAACTTGTTGATGACTCAAGTATGAGCTCCACTCTAAGGGAAATGGAAAATCCGGGAAAGCCATAATTTCTTTGGGCACATTGGTTCTGGAAAGTAGATCAAAATTAGAAATACTATCAGTGAAATACTATCAATGAAATCCATCAGGAAATTGAGTAATAATTTAATTTTCAGTGGACAAAAACCCTACATACCAGAATAATTTAAACAATATTGCTTTCTTTTTTTTCCTTTTTTAAGGGCTATAGATATAATTAGTTATTTGTGATAACACCAAAAACTATTAATCACATGGGGGCCCAAGAAAATAAATGTCAATTTTCACAAGAATTGTGAAAACAGCTAAAATTCTAAAATTTTCATGTGTAATATGTCATTTTGTTAAATTTGACATTAATTTTCTTGGGCTCCCATAAGTTATTTTCTTTGGTGTTATTACACACAACTAATTACTTCTATGTTTAATTTATTTTGGTACAAGGTTTTTGTCCACTGAAAATTAAATTACTCAATTTCCTGATGGATTCCTTCTTAACATGTTTTAAGCAGGGCTTCTGATATTTCGCGGAAAAAAAAGCAAAATTTCGCGGGATTTTAAGGGGCAAATTCGCGGAAAAATCGGCCGATTTCGCGGGATTTTCGCGGGAAAAAAGTCAAAATTCGACAAAAAATCGGCCGATTTAGGGCGATTTTCGCGGAAGAAAAGTCAAAATTCGCAGAAAAATTGGCCCATTTCGCGGGATTTTAGCGGAAAAAAGTCAATTTTCGAAGGATTTTCAGGGGCAAATTCTTAGGAAAATCGGCCGATTTCACGGGAAATTTCGGGGGGAAACTTCGTCAAGAAACAATCAGTAAAAAACAGCCGATTTCGCTGGGGTTTATTTAGGCAAATTTCGCTAAAATCGATCAATTTTGCGTCGATATGACCAGCGTTGGTGAACGTTTTTTTTTAACAGGGATAATCATTTGTTCTTTCGACAACAGTTCGCTCGAGAAATGAGCTATTAACATTATGGTTAGTGCCCAGTTTTTCGCAACGTTCATCTAAAAACGCCTGGTAGTTTTGGGACGTTGTTTACTCGTTGCAGTGACGAAGTTTCAAGCTAAATCTGGACGTTTGGGGTGAATAAAACCGGTCTAATAGCCAAGATAAGTATTAAATACGTTTTGCCGACATGTATTTGGAAATATTTCTGGCGGATTTCGCGGTATTTCGCGTTTTTTTGGGAATTTCGCGGTATTTCGCGGAAAGACCTGAATTTCGCGGGTCCGCGACCGCGCGAAATATCAGAAGCCCTGTTTAAGGTGGTCAGGGAAATTATAAATATTACAATAATATTGATAATCAATACACTGGTTGCATCCAAGCATGGACACAAGACAAAAAACGTGTTCTAATAGGGTGCCAGACATAATTAACGTGTTTTGCCTCCAAACATTTAAAGATTGACAGCCGTTAAAGCAAACTGTTGCTTTCACAGCATCTTGGGCAGAAGACATTCCAGGAATACGAATAACGATAGTTTGTTCTGGGAGGAGAAATCACCAATTTGGAAGTATTTGAACTAGACAAATATCTGTACTTGTAAACACAATTGGCTAAGACTCCTACCATTTATTCCGGAACTCAGCGTAACTTAAAGATTAGTCAGTTGGTAATTGTGAAGAAGAGCTCCCCAAAAAACCTGTCGGTCGACTGTCGGTCAACTGTCGGCCGACACATTACCGACAGTTTACCGACAGGCTACCGACAGCTAACCGACAGGCTACCGACAGTTTCCCAAAGAAGAAAATTGTTGAGAAAACACGCATTAAACATGACATAGAAACGATAATAATCTCGATAGACATCACTTACTTACCGATCGATGGTAAAACGATTTCTTCCGACATGTTTATAGAAAGCTTTTGAAATGCGAAATGGATATATTATTCGCGAAAGACAACAAGGCAATCAATGAAATCAGATTTAGAGGTGATTTAATCCCAATCTCTGAAATCCTACAAGAAAGCTACTATACTAGCATAACTCACTTTTCTGTAGTTTGTGGGTGCAATGCATGATTTTGACTGTGTTCCATGTGACTGTGTGTTTGTCATACATTATTTTCCTCAAAACAATGGATGATGAAACAATAAAATCAAATCTAATATTTATTATTAGATTTGATTTTCGTGATACCCGGAATAATCAAGGTCTCGTTAAGTGGGGATACCAACTTGAAAAGTTATAAGATTTCAAGTTAACAACCTCAAATCTTGCTTTTAAATTAATAAACTTATTCCAGGCTGTAAATGGGCTTAACAGCGAGACTCAGGTCAAACTCTAACTGACCACTCCCTGAAAACCTGAACAACTGGCTCCTACATAAACAGGCTAAATAACCAGCTAATGTTTGGGAAAATGAAGCCACAGTCATCTCCCCCACCCCCTCTATTTGTGGAGGATCAAAGAATGCACCTGGGAGATGCATGGTGGAAATCAAGCGTACTACATCAAAGGTATAGACTATTGTTTGCACAATTAGTAACCAAAAAAAGTTCAGTTCATGTGACTCATTAATGGACGATGAGTCACACATCTTCTGATATCTCATTTAAGTCATTTAGTTCCCTCTGCTTTTTTAACTGCAAATCCTTTTTTATACTATGCAGAGACATGTCTGTTTATGCATCAGCAACAACGGTTGACTAAAATGTTGAGTAAACAAATTCAAACTCATCGATGTCCATTTCTCAGGCCTATATCAGAAGCATATCTGTGCACGCTTGTGGATTTACTGCTGAACAAAGCATCTGTTGAATATCAGAACTGGACCACTGTGGGGCACAGTGGGCTGCTGGGCCATAAGCTGTAGGTCTCTGGGCCTCTTTTTAGTAAAACTCTTGGTAGCCTTGGCTATTGACTCAGCTGATAACACCCCCCTCCACCTTGATTATAATTCCGGATATAACAAAAACCTCATCCAAGGATTGTTTTTCTTTTAGAAACAACTCTTTACAGTGCAACCACTGGAACTGGAACACTTAGAAAAAGATTATCCAATTGAAAACAAAAGATTCTGAAGTTTTTTTTTTTTTTTGCAAACAGACCAATAAAATTCAAGGTTCAACTATGCAACCATTGAAGACTTAAAAACTATTTGAATTTACCTAAGCTCTCAGGAAACAGCACTCAAATTTAAGAATGTTATTGGCCCGTTTGCAAAAATCTTGAGAATCTTTTGTTTTCAAAAAACGTTTTGATTGCTTAATATTCTTTCAGTGTCCCCGCTAAGGTTCAAGTAGTTGCACTGTAAGCAACTCAAGCAAACTTAACAAATGCTGCTGTTTGTGTCAGATACAAACAAAGAGAATGCCTGGATAAACCAGACAAGGATGATGACAAAGATAGTGATATGATATTATAGATGATGAGAGCCTAGGTCAAATGTCCAAAAATAACTTTAAAATCAATGCCCACGACACTTTACTCCGAATACTTTCAGAAGAAAATGATTATATTGATTTACCCGACTTAATAACAAAAATTTCCTTAAAACTCGGCTTCCTATATTTGCAATGTCCATGATTGTAAACTTAATTAAATTGAATTTATTTTTATTTATTTGTTTATTTATTTAACTACTCTTTTTCTCTAGTCTTTCTTATGATCTATCTGTATATACGTATTACATACGTGTAACCACTGCACGCCTCGACTAGCTAACCTACTAACTGCGGGCAGTGGATATTGCTTTCTGTAAAATTTGTGATAATTAATAAACAGTTGAAACAGAAACAGTTTTCTGGAGTATTATCACATGACCGCCATTAGGAAAATGAAACAGACAAACTAAAGAAGTCTATTGGATTGCTAAGGACTATATGAAGACCCGCTTCTACGCAGCCTGTATAAAAAAGATTACGTAATGGCGTCCGATTCGACAAGATCGTCCACCGGGTTATGGTACTGATCACTAAGTGTGTATCAATAGAAATGACACGCTATACCTGAGATTTCTGTACATGCTGGAGTGAACAGTAATCCCACGTTCGTCAATGCCTGTATTTTCGCTGTACACCCAGATTCCGCCGACACGAGAGGCTTGCTCGAACACACGCACCTCAAACACATCCAGCTCACTAGTGAGATGTCTAGCGGCCGCAAGTCCTGCAGCCCCGGCTCCGATCACACACACTCGAAGCTGGGGCATCTCTTAGGCCCTGTTGATGAAGAAAAGTTGTCCCGGTAGAAGGGTCACGCGCGCGCCTGGCCGAAGTTCAGTATTAAACGACTTTGACCCTTTGAGGCCTTTTACTGCCTAAGAAAACAGCGGATATGACGTTGAAGCTCAGCGACCGGACACGAGAAACAATCGAGAGGGGATTACGGAAAAGGTCTGGGCACTACCAAAGGGACAAAACAAGATGGCAGACAAAAAGTGGGCCAAAGAGATTATCCACGTTAGACATTATCCCGTGACAGTTAGTTCGCTGTAAGCGAACGCGCGAGAACCGCGAACGATAGTCAAAGCCCGCGCCAAAAATGGCGCAAGTGAAACAGCGGGGAAGGGGTAGGGAAGGGGGTGTTGAAGAAAGACAAGAAAGGAAGGAAACTTCCTTTCTTCCCCTTCCCCTCCCCTCCACATTTATTTTTTGGCTATCTTTTTATCTCTCGCCGGGCCAAAACTGAAAATCCCCTACCTCGGTCTTTCTAAAAACTAAACAGAAAAGCTTGCTACGCAGGCTAATCCGAACCAACCTCCAGCTTTTCTTGCCTTGACAGCCGATCGAACTAGTGTTAGTCTTCCTTCGCATCACAGCTGATCGAGCGTTCCTTTACCAGAGGCTTTTCTCGTGTGCGACGAGGAGCTTTTGTCGACCGCAGGCCGACACGTCTTCGGCGGAAGGCCGAAGACGCCGAAACCGGAGACCGCGCATGAAAGGCCTCTGGTACCCAGGGTATTTGTCCTTACGCCCTACTCTTATTTTAGGCTTCTGTTTAGTCTCCCCCTTGACCGAGTTGACTCGGCTGGGGTGCTGGGCGAGCCAAAGAGTATGGAGAAAAGTTGACCCGGCTAGGAGACCTAGGAGGCTAGGGTGACCCGTCTAGCCGGGCCAAGATTTTGTTTCTCACGTTAACGGCCCGCCGGGTTTTGTAAGGAAATATAGGAAAAGTTGGTCCGCCCAGAGTAACTCGTGTAGGCGGGGCGGGTGACCTTTCCGCCCGGGGCAACTCTCCTCCGTATGAACGGACCCTTGATTTACAATCAAACACTTTATGTACCGTATATGAATATTCATACTCAGTCTCTTGATTTCCCGCGCTCGAGCAAGAGGTCGCTACGCTTCAACGTTTCCGTGCGGTTTCGGACCAAAGAACGAGGAACTAGAGTCAAACTCTGCGTGAAAAATGGCGCGACTAAAACGGCGGGGAGGGGTGGGGAAGAAATGATGGAAACAGCGTGTCCTTCCTTCCCTTCCCCTCTTTCGGTTTTCGCTGTTGTTCCATTTTTCGCGCGGCCAAAACCGGAAATCCCGTTCCTCGGTCTTTCTTTGCTCCGAAACCAGGAAACGCTTGCTGCCCAGGCTGACGCAAAATTGGCTGACGCAGGCTACAACGTCAGCTGTTTTCTCAGGCTTTTAAGGGCTAAGATCAAGGGTGAGGGTGGGGGTTAGGCTAAAGGTAAGACTAAGGGTGAGGGTGAGAATAAGGGTCAGAGAAAGAGAAAAAGCTAAAGGAAAAATAAGGAAGATAGGCTGGTCTGATTTCAACATTGTTTCTGTTCGTTTGAGCTGCCGACAGCCTGTCTTCCCAGGCCTTCTCGGTCAATGCATTTCGGTGACGTATCCGAAACGAACTAAAAATCTCGCTCGGAACACATGACCCGGAACGCATCGGCCGCGCGCAGTAATGAGGCCCAGGGACTAGACAAACAGTTAAGTATTTCAAACAAAGTGACCGCTAAGTGGGGTCGGGGGAGAAGGGGCACTTCTCCTAGGGTCATTCTTCACGTGCTTCAAAAATTTTCCCCGAACTCGCACTGACTCGTTCTTAATAGGAGCCGATTGCTATCATTACGATTATTACTGATAGTCGGTTTGTGAAAACGTTCGACAACACAAGAGGATTTCGCTGCTATGGTTTTACATTTAATAAATTCAAAACCACTTTGAGACATTGAGGAATTTATAACCGGTTGAAATTTTGTCCGGTACCGAGTGAACGTAGCCTCGGAAGTTTTCTTTACATCTCTGGTCTTTCTTTGGAACCAACTTTATTGACCCGTACTTTGACTTGCCTTTTCTTAAGCGCGAATGAAGTCGACGTTTTCTTTGAAAGGTGAGTTTAAAATTATTTCATTTTTTCAGGCCTTAGAGGTCCCGAATCGCTATAGTTAAGTGTAATTGATGTGGAAGTTGTATCAGAGGCAGATTCTGGTTTTGGGGGGCGTAGCCAGGATTTTTCGAGAGGTACCCACAAGTTTTCTAAATCTATATAGTCTCTTATATAAGGCGAACTGAGAGAACAGTAATAAATTGTTTGTTTACAACTTTTGTTTGCCGATCGATGACTGCTTTATTAGCGTGGGTACAACCTCGTAAACTTGAATTATGGGGATATATAAAATGAAACCAAATGCCTGGAAATACTCTAGCGTTGCGAACAATGAATATGAATTTTGTATTAAAATTTACTTGCGTGCATCTAACTCGCCTCCGATTGGTTTAACAACAATCGGCTACTGTCAGAACTCACACATGCGCATTATCGTGAACCAGGCTCCCCTTTTTTTAAACGGATCTTATTTTCTATGAAATGACGTAAGAAATTTGTCGCCTCTGAGTTTTTCGGGCGGGGGGGGAGGGGGGGAGTTTTCGAGGCAGCAGAGGGTCTGAGTTTAATGGGGTTCCTAGTTTTCAAGACACCCGAGTGTCTGAGGCCAAAATGCTCTATCTTACTTTTTCCTTACTTTGACATTTGCAGAGACTAATCTACCAATATAACTTTAATTTTCCTGGACTTTTTATCAATCATGACCCTCAGTGGCCTGTACGAGCTTTTCCATAAAGATTGGTTGACTTTTAAGAAACAGCTATCCACGCCGGCTGTCACAAACGACGTGATATGGCTGTGCGCATGTCTGCACCACTGGCCATAACGCGGAATCCACTTAAAACTGCGGAGTTGTGTGTTGAAACTTGCGCATGTCCCTTGTAGATGGAAATGTAGGTGTGATTACTGCTTTTCCACGATCCATTAGAAGTGTGTTAAAACATAGCTTCGCCACTGGTTGACCTTGTTTCCTCGCTTTGCTTCATACATCTGATGAATTTTAAAAATGTTTTCGCTGACGTTTCCTTCCTGTTACTCACGGGCTAAGGGGTTGTTTGACAGCCAACGGCTGTGCTGTAGGTCAGTTTTAAACACGCTAAAAATTGTCGCTTTACAAGTGACACCACTGCGTTCTGATTTTTCAAAATGGTTATTTGTAGGCTTTTGACGTACCACCTAATATCTATGGCTTGAATGACGCTTATGATCATGTGAAGACTGCTTGCTTTTGTGGCCTCCAGAATGTTTCACGTGGTCGTGCGGTGAATGTTTCTCTTTCCTCCTGGGCGAGTAGTCCCTATTACAGTGACAGTAAATTAATAATTTAATACTACTAAAACTGTTGCAGCATTTTCTTTCTAAAGACAAAGGTATAAAGAGGGCTTTCCGTTGTGGATCAGATGTGTCAGTATAACTTTAAGGTAATACTGTTTACTAACACTAATGATGATGATGATGATAATGATGATGACAACAATATAATAATAATAATAATAATAATAATAATAATAATAATAATAATAATAATGATGATAACAATAATAATAATCACAATAATTTCAGTACGGCAGTTTTTTTTATGTTTGCCTACAGGTACAGGAACATACCCAATGCTGGTGCTAGAACTGCTAAAACAAGTTAATAGACGGTCTTACTCATTCGCTACTTTAGAATTAAGAAAGAACCTGGGCCAAGTTAGACGCGCAAAGACCTCTGGGATCGTTACTGGGGACGCGCCATTGGCCATTTTTTTTTTCTCTGTCTCTAGTAACAGTCCCAGAAGTCTTTGCAAAAGTTAACTTGTCCCAGTTTCCGTTTAGTTTCTAAAATGGCAAATGGCCTCTTATACAATGAGATGACTACAATGTTCTGGGCCCAGTTGTTCGAAGGCCGATTAGCGCTCAACCCGGGGTTAAATTTAACCCGGGTTTCTCTTTCCTGTGTTCAAAAGCATTTTCTCGGATAATTTTCTCTGTTATATTTAGAGCTTTCAATCATCAACTTGTAGACAAAAAGAATTAAAACTGAAATGCTTTTTAAGCTTTCAAATCTGAATTAAAATCTCGCACTAACCCTCGGTTATCTTAACCCAGCTTTGAACAACTCGGCCCTGGTGGTAACTTCATAACTGAGAATGAGAGAGAAAAATTCAATCATTCATTGGCTGCTCATTAAAAATGGCTGCCCAAGTTACCTTTCTCTCCTATCTCTGGTTGCAGATTCTGATGGATACTTTCCTCGATTGTCCTGAAATAGTGTTAAAAACAGTATCATATTGTAAATGAAAAAAGCAACGTCAAACAAAAAAGGCCCCTCAGGTTTCAAAAAGGAAAAACAGGCCTCTGACAGGACACGAGCTTCTTACTGGCGATGAATAGTCTGTTCTCCCGTAACCATAAAAAAGAAGAACAAAGAAATCTATTCAATTCGTGGAAAAAAAAATATGGCCGATGCTGAAAAGGGTTCAAAGAAATATCTTGAGTGTCTTCTCTGTTGCGTAACCTTTTTTCTCACCACTTTCTATACCTCCGCATCTAGCAAAACCGGATATGTAAAATAGCGTGAAGAACTACTGCCCGCTCCTTTACGTTAAAAAAGCTTGTTTAAAAACGTACCTTGTGACTTCTAGAGTAATCTCCTGCCTGTGAGTTCTTTTTTCTTTCTATTCTTCCGTCGCCTTCACTGCTACTTGCTTCTCTACGTCTCTCACGATTTTCTCTTTTTCGTTTCTCCCTTCTTTCGCCATCGCTGCTACTATTACTTCTATGTCTCTCCCGATTTTCTTTCTTTCTTTTTTCCCTTCTGTTCTCGTCACTGTTTCCTGGACTTCTTCGCCTTTTCCGTTTCTCTATTTTCCTTTTTTCTCTTCCCTCCTCATCACTGCTGCTAAAACTTGTTCTTCTTTCTCTTCTTCTATCCTTCTCCTCCCCTCTATTTTCCCGTCTCCTTGATTCACCGCGCTTTGCTTCGCTCCCTGACTTCCTGTCTTCATCATCACTGTAGTCTTTACGTTTCTTTCTCTTTTCCGCAGATTTTCCTCCATCGTATCGATCATCATCAAATACTAAATCGTAACTTGGCAGGAGTCAAGAAATTAACACATTCATACCTAGGACTGCTAAATCTAAATTAGAGAAAATCTCCGAGTTTCATTTTGCATACTGCAAGACAAAAAGGACCATGTAAAATATATTGTTCCCAGAGCTGCAAACCTTTCCCGACGCTGACCAAAAGGATCGCATCACTGGAAGCGAGAATGCATGTGAAAGAACTGATAAAATGGTCACAAAACATAATTTGGGTCACTGACTAAAACGTTTGGACAAAATTGAATGTCACTGGAAACCTGCTACACGACAGCGACACAAGCATTAATACAAAAGAGTCCCCACTTATTAGAAGTAGGAGCACAACGTGACAAACGCATGCGCAGAATAATCAAACTTTGGCGATAGTGCTTGCGCATCATCCCACATTGGCGGAAAAAACGAGTGTCATGTGTCTGTTCCTTGTGCGGATTGAGCGGATCAGGGTAAGATTCTGGGAAGCTGCCGACCTACTCTTCCCCAAACTCAAATTTAACTGAAGCAAAAAGTATTTTTCGGTAGTTACCCTTTAGGTGTGAAAATTCCTAATCGCCAAAAACATGAAGATTGATTGTAGTTGTGCTCTCTAATGTGTGCAATTCGTTGGTAAACAAACGTAACAACAAACAAAAACAAATAACTGACAACAAAAGGGGCCTAGACAGACAATAACTCAATTGCTTTCAGAAAGCAAGCTTATAAAGGATACTTGCTGCTTTCTTTGCTTTGTTTTAAAGCAAATTTAGGTTTGTCTTTATCATCCTTGGCTGGGAAGACTGGTTTTGCCCCTGTGTCAAAAAATATATATATATATTTTATCAACGAAATAGCCCTAAGAGTGATCAATATAAGCTTGAAATAATTATTTTCAACGAAAATAAGAAACCAACTAGGCTGCAGTTTATAGGACACTGTTGGAGAAAAAAGGATGAGGTGATAAGTGATCTACTACTCTGGGAACCAAAGCACGGCGCAAGAAAGAGAGGAAGACCAGCATTAACATATGTAGACCAGCTGCGAAATGATACTGGTTTGAGCATTGCTGAACTGAAGAGCATCATGAGAAACCGGAAGGAATGGGTGAAGCTAGTTAATGGAGTTCGAGTTCGCTCGAAATAAGCAAGAAAGCAAGACGAAAATAGTTTCATTGCTAAGCATCAGCGAGAAATCAAAGTAATTTGTACCGCACATAGCTAGACCTTCGAGTGGCTCGAGTACAGGGCAGTACATGCAGTCTCGTCTCCAGTTGGAGACAAAAATCCTCAATAATTACTTTCGTGCTAAATACATTGGCACTCAAATAAGTTACGTTATTCTTAAGTGCTCCATCTTTGCATTGACGACGAGATAAAATTGATTTTACCTTTTCAAACACTAGACAATTCTTAAGCTACAAGAAACTGCACCTAAAACTAAATTCTTTTTCATTTACATAATCTAGGAAAGGAATATGTCGTAGAAAATTAATGCTAATATTAAGAAATGTTGAAAGGAAAAAAATTAAAAAAAGTGATTAGAAAGGTTCATTCTGTATTTTTCCGAGTATTTTGTGAAACAAATTGAAAAGGATTAATTAATCATTAACAAAAAATGGTTCTTGTTTTTCTTTGCCCAATGCACATTGTATTACCCTGCTTCTGAAACTTGACTTTTGCTACAGACTGGGAAAAATCAACATGAATTCGCCGGTCGTCGATCAGCACATTGTCCATTTTAAAGTAAGCACGTTCACAGTCTTCAACCTAAAAAACAGACAGCAAAAAGGCAAGAAAGTTGCTCTTTATCGATCTCAGATTGTTGGTAACAACGTTTTTCTCTGTAAAGAGGTGGAATCGAAAATTCACTCAACTGTCAGTCATAATTCGAACTAAAGTAAGGATTATGATCAGTCGGTTTTGCTTTGCTAGTAACGCAACCCTTATATTGAGAAAACTTGTCCCGGGTGGAAGAGTCACCTGCCTACCCGAACTACCGAGCCAACTTTTGATATATTTCCTTATAAAACTTGACGAACCATTTAGACGAGAAACAAAACGTTGGCTCGGCTAGTGGTGTGATCTACCTAGTCGGGTCACACTTTGATGATGGTAGGGTCACCCTACTAGCTGGACCAACTTTTCTCCATAAAACACTTCAGCTCTCCTAACGGGTCAACTCGGTCAAGGCAAAACAATTAGGGCATGCGCGGGCGCTGTTAACAGCTCTTGGATCGGGCAAAGAGGACAAACGGTTTCTCATATAAACGCTCGTTAAAGTTGAGTTGACTGGAAGGGTGATCTCTTTCCCTGGACAACTTTTCTCCATAGAAGAGGGGCCTAACTTTAATACGCAATCTTCCAGGGAAACTTGCAACAAACTGGAACATACAAATTTTGTTCCACAAACTGACTTGATTAGCTTAATCAACCGCCACCAAGAAAACCTGATGTCTCCACGCCTGTACAAGGCTCAGTCTCCTCAAGCCGTGGGTGTCTTGATGCACCTGCAGTACTCCCCACCCAGAGACAAGGCTGAGCCTATGCCTGTCCTTGATCAGGGCAAATCTCCTGGCCATAAATTACCACCTTTTATGAAATGGAGGAAAATACAAGGAGGAAGCAAAGGGAAACTGAACTTACATTCTCAAACTCAATGAAAGCATACTGCAGTGACTCCCCAGACTTCTGGTCTCTTATAACTTCACAGCTACAAAAAATACAGCAAATACAGTTGATTTTGAGTAATCTCTTGAGATCAGCTATGCTTGTGCAGTAATCGCATGCCCTATTGACTATATGTCAGCTCTGCTGTTAACTTAGAAATTTGGGCAATTTGCCAAGTTTTTAAATGTCTTATCAACAAACACAGTTGTTGCAACTTCTTAAGTAAAACAAAACAAAATGAAAATGCCTTAGAATAAGTACCTGTTTCATGTAAAGTTTTATAAACAAAAAGTTTCTAATCAAGTCAATGCTACACTACAAATACCGGATTAGCATAAGTGCTATTGGCAATTACCTTGATTAAAGGTTAAAGATTATTGTTGGGGGCGTGTGAAACTTTTTTTAAAAAACAGACTGGTTGCACTTCTGTCTCCTGACCTGCTTAATGCAAAAATAAACCCCCGCATGCTCAATTTTTCAACTTTTGACTGGGATCAAGAATTAGTAAATTTTACAGACAATTGTAAGGTGGGGGTACCTTTGTGCCACCCACCAAACAAATTTCTGATAAGGTAAAAATATCAATTTTATCTCGTCACCAATGCAAAGATAGAGCATTTAATTTAATTTTTTGTTAAGTGGTGTTTGTAGTTGAGTGACTGGATATTCGCTTATTACTGGTCTTTATCAAAACTTTAGAAAACACCTTTGCAAGTCTCATGAGTCTTATGGTATACACCCTAAAAAGACCAGAGAAGAAAAGAACATGAGAAAATTAACTAAAAAAAGCCAATTTTGGGTAATAAGGGTCTTAGTGGAAAAAAAATTGCTGAACCACAAGGCTTGCCGTCCAGCACCTTTTCCATTGATACATGTGATATAGTAAATTCTCCATTGTTCACTGTAGCCATAATAAAATAGCACTGTTAAGAATTTAAAACTTTAAAAAATAATATTGCCAGACTCACTTTTGTTTTATGCTTTTCAATCTCTGGTATTTTTAAGGTTGTATTCCATATTTTGGCATGAGAAAGGTTATGTGACCCTTACTGCAAAGGGCCTATAACATTATGGTAGTGTATGATACAAAAACAGAAAGGAGAGGTTTTACCTTTTAATGGGTCCAAATCTGCCAAATATTATCTCTAAATCTTCATCTTGAGTGACAGGGTTAAGTTTACAGACAAATAGAACATTGTCAGGAGGTTTAATGTCAGCATCTGGAATATCACCAACCTGAAGCCATGATGACAGTCAATGAAAATTATGTTACAAGAATGAACTTTCTCTTAAAAAAACATGCAGGGTTTTCAATAAGATTTTAAGTAGATGGCAAAAGCTTTGGAGTAGGTGGAGAAGGAAAAAACTTGCGGCAAAGGTGCAGGTGAGATTCTGGAAAAGTTGTGAAATCTGGGCCTCTTAGAGTGCATTTCCAGCATTCTGGAGCAAAAGTTAGAGTGTTTGAACAGAACACAGACATCATCAAATTCTGGCTTTTATTCAGTGACAGCATATGAATACTCTTTTTAAACTAGGGCAATTTTCAATGAAAAGTAGGCAGCGAGTTCAGGTGAAATAGCTGCCGAATTTCACAGGCCACCACCTCTTATTGAAAACCCTGATCATTTCAGTTACAGTAGTTCATAAGACATATGTTTTGTCTCATTAATGACTACCTGTAGGCAAATAAAGTGACAGGCATAAAAGGGGGAAAGATACATGTATGAGGGCAAGAGAAATGGTCTCTCTCCTCATATTTCCCCCTTTTTCCTGTTAATTACAATAATTTCTGGTTGCCAAGGAGTGGTTACCTTATTCTAAATTTCATGAGTATAAAATTTTGCGATTTTCATGATTTTGGGAAAAATTGTGAAATGCAATACTTGCAAAGTCCAATACGTGTGAAGATTAAAATTTAATACCAGATATAGATTAAGTATAAGTGACGTAGAGGTAAAATATGGACAGAATAAGGACCTTCATGTCAAATTTGACATAAATTATTATAAGAACAAACTTATCTGAGTGTAAATATTTACTATATATAACTATTTGCAGTACTCACTTAGACTTTTGAAAAGCTCATGCAATGTTATATTTAGATTGTTTATTAATTCATTTTCAATAGCTCACGTTCAATGTATTAAAATTCTAACATCATGATGACTCCGAGGCATTAGGGACAAAATTGCAAATTTTTCTTGACTCCAGTGTCTCGCAATTCCCAGAAGAGACTTGAGCACAAAGAAAACCAAACCAAATATAAAAATAACAACCGGAAAGCCTCGGAGTCGTGTTAGAATTTTAATATATTGAATGTGGGCTATTGTCTTTGTTTGCTGTTGATTACGATAAAATTATTGATTCCATTGTTAGTCTTCTAAGGTCAAAGTTACCTTTACATATTAAAGAATGGAAAAATCGTGAAATTTAATATTACAGTCTCCAATTCTATGTTTCCCTATTGTCAAATTAAATGCACACAAAATATGGCTCATGATTAATGATAATAATAATAATAATACTTATATAGCGCCAATATCAATTTTGCTATTTTCATCAGCGCTTAAAAATGAAAATATTTTTAAAAAAATACTAAGACTGCATAAAGTATACATGCATAAAGTGAAAATAAGGTAATATTTTATAATTCTGAAGTATTTTATCCTGTGCACTTTCAAATACAGGATGAGTCTTATTGTGAGCTCTCAGTGTAAAATGTTTAACTACAATTATAATAATTATTTTAGTTAAACATAAATATTCAACAACATAAACTGAGTCTGAGGCAAGTGTTGATTATTTTTTGTTTAAGTAAAATGTTCAGATTTTAAATTGATCTTGAGCTTGTAGTCTTTCAAAAATGGCTCAGACAATGCTTGCACGATGAGCAATTGATGTTTGAGCACTGGAGACAGCATTGTTGTAGCATTAATACATGCTCAAGGTGTTTTTACCCTTGAACACACCTGATGGCTACGTTGATCTTGGTTGCCACCATCACCATAAACAGTGATAAGGTTCACTGCTGGCTTTATAATATTATTGGTGTGCAACCACTATGTCTTTTTAGTTATCACATTTGGTAAACAGCAGTGAGATGAAGGATGGTGAACTGGGAAAATCTGTTACTATTGCTCTGGGCTGTACAATCGTAGAGAAAGATTATTTCAAAATAAGAAAAAAAAGTTTTTAGCCACCTACATGTAGAGTATTTTATAATTTCATATAATTGTGTGAAGTTACAAGTAACTCTCTCAAGGCAGGCAGACCAGGGGCCCGTTTCTTGAAAGGCCCGCAAACTTTTCAGCCCCAAAGGAAAATTTTGAAGTCAAAACCTCTTAAATAGTAGCACAGTTCCTAGTTCAAAAACCAGTCAATTTTGCTTTGTTAACTGATATTTTTATTATATAATTTTCAAAATTATTGGAACCTTGATCTTGAATGCAAACAAGACAAACACGAAACAGCTTTCTGGGCCCGAACACTTATCGGGACTTTCGAGAAACAGGCCCCAGTTAGGTATTAGGCATTAAGTGTTGAGTAAAATGAAATACAATGTAGCTCGATCCATATCAAGGTTTTAATTCTGTAACTGAAATATTTTCTAAATTACCATTTCAAGAATCTGTGTTCCAGCTTTGAGCTCTCTTTCTTCAATCATTTCATCTATTTCTTCCATTGTTTTGCCCTTGGTATCATCAATTTCCTCATCAGCACCAATACGACCACTCTGAAAAAATCAACATTAATCAACATGGCAAGACATCAGTTTCCAATGTTGAGGTAGAATCTGGGATCAGGTTAAACCAGTAGGAGGGACATGTATTAGCACAGTCGGTTAGTGTACAGACTTCTGTGTGGGAGGTTCTGACTTCAATGCTCAGGTGTGACCTGAAATCCTTGTTTCCACTTTTTTCATTTCTGCGTGCATTTAAGTACCTTTAAACACCCATAACACCGAGCACTGACAGATACAGGGGGTAAAATGTGTACAGCGCCTCAGGTTAATCAGTGTAACTACTATTATGGGTTACTGATGTAAAATTCATTGTAACGACCTTTAACTTCACCTTTTCAGCAATATCAAAATAATTCATTATCACGCCCTCCAGTTTTAATTATGAGAGTGGCATAACTTTGTCTGTTAGGTATTTTTCAAACAAGTTTTCCTATCTTTACAAAGTCATACAGTTTGTATTGAAATCATGGTGATCTTTGTTGTATTTAAAGTGACAATGATTAAGGGGACAACCAACTTACATCAAGTTGTTCCTTGGTTGGTTCTGGTGACCGATCAGGTATCACCAGACCTTTGGGATCATCATATGGGTCGTCCAAGATCACAGTGTGGTTTATCCTGTAGAACAAAAGAAATGAATATACTGAAAACTGGAAATTGTCCAGATGCTTAGTTATGTGGCTTGATTAGCCCTATATTAAAATTAGGTTGACAAAACTGTCTGATCATTCTATTACTACAGATGCTGCATCACCAGCTGTCTAGGGAAGCTTTTCTCTTTTTTTACTGAATAAAGGATTAAGCAATTTTGTTCAAGAAAATAACTTAATACATTCATCTCAAATTGTCTTCATTGAAGGTTTTAGAACAACTGATCACATTTTCCATTTAAGGACACTAAACAACAAGTAAACTATGTAGTTAATGCCAACAAAGAAAAATTACTTTATTGTTTCATTAGCATGTCCTCCTTTAGGGGTCAATTAAAACCTGTAGAGCCATGTCCCCACAATGGTCTCATTTAGGGCTTTTCATTGTATTCTCCAATGACAAGCACCCTTGTCTCTTCTATATGGGATTCATCCTCCCTCAGGGATACATAGCATGGTTACTTAATGTGACAGTTATGGTACAGTATACAAGAAGGTCGGGTGGGGGTATTTGTATTCTTCTCCTTATATTCCAATAAATTAAAAAGGATCTGATCACCAGCTGTGTGCTGTATTGGTAGTTGGTGTAAAGTACTGCTACCTGATATCTTGGTAAGGTCTGTGCTCATCATCACAGATAGCATCACTCAGTTTATCCAGGACTTCAAATCCTTCAACAACTTCAGCAAACACAGTGTGAACACCATCAAGGTAATCCAGATCATCACCAAGGGTAATAAAAAACTGAAACATATTTTCAAATATTAATGTTTAAATTGTGTGCTACTTGACTAATATAAGCAATAGATGAACAACAATAGTGCAGATGACCAGAAGATGAGAGCTACATGTAACAAGCTCTGGTTGTAAAGGTGTTAAACAAATTACCGGTACCTTCATATTTATCGTTTTTGGCCAAGAGTTCTAGTTCAGGTAAAAGAATCACTGAACATCATCTTTATATATTTGAGAAGGAAGACTAGTTTTAGATGTCAAACTTTTCATGCACCAAAATTTATTGAATTTAGGCAGACATAAATCAACAAGTGTATGTCACTCTATTGATTCAAACACAGAACCTAATTAGTTGAACTTAACAACTTATGTTAGTTTCAGCACATGACAAGTACATTTAGTGTAAACTTGGTGTGTGAATCGCAGCTGTTACAAAGTAGCTGAAAGAACCATTCTTACTTATACTATAAACTCAGATGCTAAACTTTTCATAATAAATTCAATTCAATGTTAATTCAAAGTTTCTGGTTTAGCTCATGAATAGTTCAGTGTCTAAACCATGCATGAGTACATGTATATAAAATAAATATAGAAAATAACGACATTTCACTTTTCCTAAATTCTGGAAATTTCCTGTGCAGGTAAAAAATGAGCTAAGCTAGGTCATATCTCACTTGAGAACCATGTAAGTTGTCTCCATTGTTTGCCATAGAAACAGTTCCTTTCTTCTTATGTTTGATCCGAGGCTTGATCTCAGCATCAAAGTATTTAGCTTGATCTCCATAAAGAAACCTAGCACAATAAATGAACTAATGAATTAATGAATTAAGATTATCAATGAATTATTCATTGTTTAACAGTAAAGTAACTTGAGGAGGCAATTTAGAAGACATGACTTGCCATAACGTAATTAACCAGTCATGCCACGGTTGCAAAGTTATAAAACACTATGAAAAAAAATGGCGTAAGTCATGAATTCTGGCAGAGTGGGATGAAAATTAAAACAATATTAGCTTGCCCTTTCTGCAAGCTGTGGCTAGAGCTTACCAGCCCAGAGCAGTCATGCAAGCTTAACCCATCTTCCAGATGTTCCTTGCGCATGGGACTACTCGTAATTAAAACACAGAAGCCCAACAGGTTGCACCACTTTGATATGTTTACAAGTTTTTGATGTTAGCTGTTTTATCTTAAGGGGTTCGATCGAAGCCCCCGAGCCCCCCCTGCTAGATCCACCCCAGGAGAAGGGGTCAGGTCACCCTGCCAGCAGAGCCATGCCTTTCTTTTGGCATACTTGAGAAAGACTCTGCATACAGTTTCCAACCCATCTGTTAATTTTATCCCTTTACTTCACTGTGTGTTATGTTGGTTTTCAGTACCTGAAAACAGACTCTCCTCCAGTGCCTCGGCCGGTAGGATCTCCAGTCTGAGCTAGAAAGTTTTGCTATAAGTGTCAAGAAAAAAAAAACAAACAGACGAACAGTTTATAGCACGAGGGACCATTATATTTTGTATAGCAAACATAAGGAAACAAAAAATAACGTGTTCCATTTCACAGTTAACTCTAAGCCTGAAAAGTGTCAAAGACAAAGTTGAACAATTTGTTGATAAAGGAAATTTTGGAAAATTTCCTGTATAGTCTCTCGACTGCCACGATAAATAAATATGTGATCAGAAAATCAATAAGCAAGCTTGAATATACATTAAGGTTTGTAGAATAATATTCACTCACCTGTACAGAATGAAACAAGCAGTAGTTATAATACTTTATTTTGCATAGTTTTAAGAAGTTGAGGCAAGCTGTGGAAACAACAAGGTTTTTACATCAAACTATTGAAATAAGACCTTAAACGCTAGCTACCGACGTCGCCGAATAAAGCTCAAACCTGATAGGTATTTGGAACAACCAAACAAAGATATACACACTTAAGTAGTTTAAAAAGCACTTTCAGGGGCTAAACGATCACCTAACAACAACAACTACTACTACAACAACAAAAACACTTGAAAGCGTCTTCCTACCTCGGGGTCTCTCGTTAGTAAACAGGTCGATGACAATATCTCCCAGCGTTGTTTCAAGAATAACAGACATTTTGTGAAGGAGAAATATCAGAAGCTGTATCTATATTTGATTTATGTTCTTTCAATTGAGCACAAAATACATCACTTTAAAATAAAACACCTAAAAGTGAAACGTTGAAAAATCGTAGGTGAAGCCGCCATCTTGGTCAAAACACACAAAGGCCTGGGTCGTAACGGCTTTGTTATGCTTCATGACAATTACATGACGTATGGTGCAAAAGAGCGCGCTTTTGAATCTCAAAACAAAATGTCTTCTTGTGAGGAATTTTTTAGTCGTCTACGGAAGCTTGCAGTCACAGTTGATAAGGAATCCAGTGAACTAAAAGGGATTTTAGAAGACTCGGAAATTTCGGCTTACGATGAAAATCGTGCCTGCCTTCTCTTACGAGAAACTCTAGCGGAGGTCAAAGACTTTAAGGTATTAGCTAAAAAAATTCATGATAAAAAAGTAAATAAGCAGCTGAAAATTAACCTTAAAGCTTTTATTAAAATATCTCAAGTTTATATAAACCTTAACTGCAAACACCTGGACCATCAAAAATCGATAATTTGTTCGTTGAATGAATTTGTAATGAAGATCAATGCTTGGTTGTATCGCAGCACTTCAGATCTGTAGGCTCGCTAAAACTTTTTTACCATTACATGTAAGCTTACTTTATGTTAAGTTGTACTGACAGATTCTATGAAAGTATTATATAGTTGCATCCAGTGCTTTCAGGCAATGGTTTAATAATTTTGGCTTGAAACTCATTTAAATCATCTTTAAAGATGGAGCCAAGAAATGGAGGAAGAAGAACAACAAAAATTTTTTCTAATTGATCAGTTGATACAATTGTATATGTCAATATCTCAGTTCAGTTTAATTCACCCTGTGAAAAGAGGTGAAGACTGTGCTTTCCCCGGTGCCAAGTGACCAAAGTATAGGTAGAAAGTGGCAGTGGTGGGGATTACCCTGGGGGAGGGCTACTGATTCAATTAAGTTTTAAATGGGGAGTCTTTGCCCTGAGGTGCAACCTCTTACACTTTCATATTCCATTTTTTTTTCAGAAAGGTACGCCTTTCATGTACCTTTTATTGACAAAACCATACGTTTACTAGTTATGACTAGTGAAATATTCGAGCTGAAGACAATTTTTAATTTTTTGAGAAAGTATCATCAAACCTCTTTACTATGGAAACCAACAGGGCAGAGGGAAGTGTCTGCAGAGTGTCTGCCCATCACAGATGTCTTCACAATGACAAGAGTTGGTCCTACTAGAAGGATGTTTGTATTACGTAGATGTCCTGAATATAAATGAGGACTAGGAACCATGAATTTCCAATTAACTCAGTTGTTAAGTTGCACCTGTATTTAACAAGGTCCTCAACGGCTCAACCTGTTCTGGGTGCAATTGAAATGATTATGGTATTTGTTTTCATGTTTTTGGTGAAATAGTAGCAGCTGGTATTCTTATATTTTTCAAAATCAGAAAGAGGTTAATGACAAAGTTAAAGATGTTCAGGAGAGACACATATTTGGAGACTTCATTTCTGCATGTGGTAGGCTCATGACACAAACAAAAGAACAAATAAATGAGTTAGAATCTCATTTGGAAAAATATGGATTCATCAGACCAAAAGGTAAAGGTGCTTTTTTTTTTAACTTTATCCTAGTGCATGTTTTGAATCCTACCTAACTTTGTTCTCGAAAGATATTCCTTTATTCATTTACTCTCAAGTTTCTCTCAAGTTTAGCCAAATACCTGGGAGACTGGAATTCTAGATATGTGGTGATGCCAGACAGGGATAAAAATGCAAATGGTTGATTATAAATCAATACTCCAAAAAATCCCTAAGTCTGCTATTTTATAAAACAACAAAATAATGTGAAATGTGAACCAAATGGGAGGATTCATGGTGAAAAAGATTAATGATACATAGAAATGTATGATTTTTAAAATGTATCATAACATTTTTTACCCTGAATCTTCCCATTTGTAATACCCACAATGAAAACTCAAGGTTCACAGGTAAAGGAAGGTAATCTTATGCATGATTCAAATGTCTCTTTCAGAAGACTTGCCTGATTCTACATATTCACCCACAGACGGTGTCAAGTTCGATGAAGATAGGTACGGGTGAGAGGCTGAAAATTTTCAAGTTTGAATGATCAGTTCACAATGAAGCAGAAAAAAATGAAAATAGTTTTAATTTGTAGATTGGGCTTACAAACAACATTAGTTTGTCTTAATTTTATTTTGTTTTTCCGGCACAAAACTTTCCATTTTTTTCATCCTTTATTACTATAGTGCAATGAAAACAAGTGGGGAAAGGCAGCATGTTTCAAGCTCAGAGCAGTCAGACAGTGGAGATGGAGACATTCCATTTGAAAATAGTACAGATACTAGGCCGCAGGACATAACCATGGAAACAGACCACTCTGAAAATGCTGACAACAAAGGTGCAATCTAAATACTTAACTTCAAACATCTCAGGCATGATCACGTCTATTAACAAACAAAGAAACTTAGATTCCCTTCTTGAACTGTTCCAGTGTGGTTTAATACTCAGTGTTCTCAGATTTAAAAAATTAATATATTAATTAATAATTTAATACTACTAGTAATAATATTATTAATAGTAATAATTATTTCTACCCAGGTTTAAAAAATATTAATTAACAATAATTTTTTAACATTATTATTAATAGTGCTATGCACTGGCCGGAAAAATGCATTCTCAGAGAGAAAAAAAGGTCCTAGACTTAAAAGTTTGCGGCAAAACTGGTTAATAGTTGCATGATGTTGGTGTGTGAGAATAATCTTTAGCAGTCACACTGAGATAACTGAATCTCCTGAACTACTGTATGTATTGCACATGACCATGCACTTATCAAAGAGTAACTATAAATTATAAAGATTATTTCCTGCACTTAAATTTGCCTGCCAGGCAGCCTAATTTATTCTTCCTGTAAACTATGCATTTAAGTTTAGTTTATTTAAGCTGAATGCAGCCTGAGAGCAATGATTATTTTCTTTACAGAAAATGAGGAGGATATCTTCAAGTTGCCTGTCCCACCACAGACATTCACCAAGATGATCGAAGTTACTCCACAAAGACCATTTGAACCCAGACAAGGCATACTACAGGATAAAGGACAGATGACACCTTATTCAACTCCTGAAGCTCCACAAACAACTACACCAATGATTAAGTCGCGACTGGCTGATGAGACCACAGGAACACCAAATGATAATTTATCAACACCAGAGGATACCCATCTCCCATCACAGCCAGTCACAGTCACACCAATGTTTAAGCCATCTGATGGAGGTGTAAATATTCAGACTAACTTGTTGCCAGCACTGGGATCTCCTGATCTACCTGCCCCACCAGTGATGGGTACTCCAGGTCTGAAGGCATTAGGTCCTTCAGGACTGGAATTCCCATCATCAGAGTTGTCATTCAGCTTGGAAGCCCTGCCACCTCCACCAGATATTACTTCTGTGCATATTCTTAAACCAGGTGTGTGAACTTAACAATGAACCCAATGACAATAAACAAACTTTTGTTAATTAACTATTTAATATTGCATAATCAGAATACCTGATTTGGGATTGTTAACAATGTATGAGTAGGTGAAACACAGCAAACTTAATTTTGACCATCAGATCAAGTAAGGGTACATCTTTTGAATTTTGAACCAGTAATTTCCCTAACACACTCACTTGGTATATTAATAATACAAAAGACACCTGTCCACACAACATAATCACTAACTGGCAAATTAGAGTTTCTGACACATCTGGTCAACAAACACTCAACTTAAGTAATTATGAGGCAAATCCAGGAAGGTGCAAAACTGATACTTTTAAAATATTCTTACTCTCGTAACTATGATTAAAAGATCCCTGACATGTGCTTTAATTTGAAAGTATAACCAGACAAAATCTAGCAACAAGTTTTAATTCATAGTAATGTGAAGGCACAAGTCTATCAGATTAGTGTTGTGAAAGGAAGTGGCAATAAGACATTTTTTGTTACAGGCATTATGTTTCATAACAAAATGCCAGTCCATCAATTAGGTTGCCCCGTCCTTTAACATGTATGTACTATTCAACACAAGGGGAGACTTTATCCTTACAAAATAATGGCTGAAAAATGGAAATGTTTGCCACTCTTGAAAAATAACTTAGTTTAGTATTCTCTTCCACCATAGATGATGTTATACCCACTGCTCCTGTACAAGGCAGTTACTTGGCTGATCACAGTGGTCAAAGCCAGCACATGTTTGTTCAACCTCTAAATGAGAATGAATACAGCATTCTACCCGTATATGTTGCAAACCAATTCAGCCTGAAGTGTATTAACCACCATCTTGACACAATAAATCAATTCTTATTGAGCAACAATGAAGGTAAGGAATGCTTAAGTACCACTGTAAAGGATAGACAGGCTTGTTATGTTGGAAATTGCTCCAATCACAGCACAGAAAAGTTTCATCCAGTAGTCTGGGAAAAGTTATCTTACTGCGCAAGTAACTTTTAAAGCTTACTTGTCCATTGGTTAGACAAGGGTCTCCTCCTCTAACAAATTCATTTACTAAGACAAGCAAGAAGTTGCACCAGGCAAGCAAAATGCGAGAGCTGCTTGCCCACAGGACAAGCTGGAATTCAAGTTTTTTTTTTCAAGCCCTGATACTGGCTGATAGGCCACACCTTTTCCCCCTATACTGTTGCTCAAAATTGGTGGTGCAGCTAACTGTTTCTTCAAAGACTTTTTAATGGTAATTTTTGAACTTCCATGATCATCCTAAAAACAAAGCCCATGCCAATCCTCTCTTTGCAAAAAGTCATATGCTCTCTTCTTGAAAGTACTTGCCATGGGTGACTTTGATGGTGAACTCTTTTCAAGGGTGAATCTGTGACAGATGGATAGGCTTATAGCACAATACAGTAGAACCTCAATAAGTTGAACTCGCATAACTTCAACTCCCCACCAACTCGAACTAAATTTCCTTTCCCTTGAACCAAATTTCACTGAAATTTACCCCAATAACTCTGGTTCTTGTAACTCCACTAGGATGCCATCGCATAAGCCCTTTTTGTTGCATAATCGATGAAAACTCTTGAAACCATTTAGTTTTAATTAGTGCAACAAACAGATCTCATTTTATCATAAAAATACATGAACATGTTACCGTTTCCGATGAGATAACTTAAATTTGCACAGTACATATTTACTGAAGAGCTGCAAAATTCAGTACCTGTCAATGTTATTATTCACACAAATGTAACATGGCAGATTGGACATTAATTTTCAATTGATCGCGGTAACTTGAATCCCCGCTAACTTGGACTGTTGTTTGTTGCCCCTCAGGGTTTGATTTACCAGGGTTCTACTCTATATCCTTGTACCGAGATTGTAGCCTTGGCATACATTATTTTTCAGATAGAGAGTTTATCATTTTTATTTTAAAATTTAATATTAATTTTTAGTTTACTTTATAATGAAAACATTTCCCTACAATTCAATTTCAGGACACCTTGAACCTGCCATGCTTGAACAGGATCTCAGAAATCTTCTTTGTCTAGGAGCAGCTACAAAGGCATTCATGTTAGCACTGGTGAAAACAGGGAGGTTAAAATTAGCTGGAAAGAGCATTATTTTCATGAACCCTGCATAAAATCCACACAATAATATATTCACTCATTTGACATTGCTGCTTTATTGAAGGACACTAAAAGCAACACTTCTTTTCTGAGGGTCATTTTTTGATGACCAACAAGATGCATACTAGAAGGAATAAGAGAGGAAGACTTTTGATTTAGAAGGCTTATCCACTAATATAGAATAAAGAGAAAATAAGGCATTGGATTGCGTATATAGAAAAACAGAACTTGAATCTTGTGTTCTGGTTGTTACTAGGTTCTGAAATAATTGAATGTGTACAAAGTTGACCAAATGATGAATACAGCCATCAGAAGTTATGGTTTTTCTGTTTTATAAGGATGTTGTTTTGTACATACAAGTTGATAAAAAATACCTTGTCAGCAGTTTAATGTAGGATGGTGTAGTTTGCAACAACTTTTCTAATCATGAGTCTCACCGGAGATAGCATTTGCTATAGAATCTGCTATGTTTAACATTAACAACATACATGTATTTGTATTTCATATACCAGTTGTAGTAAGTTTACACTTTTCACCATGAAAAAACTCAGCTGTTTAAATAAAAGGTATAAACTAAACCCTTTATTTATCTAGTTCTTTTTCTTCACTTTATTTTTTGTTCCATGTGTTTCAGATGTGTCAGATTTTCTCTTAAGTCCTTTCATCTTCCTGGTCTGAAGTTTAGCGTAGTCCTGCCTTTTCATGTGAACTTTTCCTTCCTTGGTTCCAAACGAGTCATATGAAACATTCTTCACTTTCTTAGGCTACAAAATACAACACTTGTATCAAAAATATGGAACTTCTGTGTTATTACATGAATGCAGTAAATAATTAGTATTCTGTTTCAACTACACTGTATTGTTGTATTTAATAATTTTTGAAACCATGATCACAATTTAAAAGCCTCTGTCACCAATTTTGAAAGGTTTAATAGCAATGAAAAACTTAACTGTGCATTTTCATTGTTTGTCAATTAACAACAACAGCAATTTGCCAAAACATTCTTGAAAATGTTATGTGAATTAGCCAATAAAAAGGGTTAGATAAGGGGCCAAACACTAGGCAAATATTTACCAACTATAACAATATTAGTTTAACCCAGCTGATTTGAGTCATTCAATTAACTACCATTAAAATTGAAAATGTCTAATTCATACATAACAACTGTTTATTTCAGCTGTTTGGGTTATCTTCACTCTCTTCCTTATTACTAAACAACTACATTCCCACTTATCTTGGCATTCTTCTTATAAAATTTGCCATTACATGGGCTGTTAGAGGTCCATTTCTAGCTTTAACAGTTTTAAGTAGAAAAGTATGTCCACTTTTCCCTCAAAATTAAACGTCTTTAATCCTCAGGCATCAGTTGTTGAAAAGGTGGATAAATCTCTATCCTGTGGATTTTGCAATATTTATTTTCCTAATACTTATCCACTGGACAGTGATTTACCCATTGGATGGCTCTTATAAATAATAATAAACTGTTCATATTATTACCTTGACGGCTTTTGGCACCTTTGTGGCTGCCTTCATTAAGTCATCTGATGCAAGATGTGTTCTTCTCATAACAAAGTCAAGGGAAGGCCCCATTTCTTCAAGCTCAACTCTTGGTGTTCGACTTCCTGATTTCTTTAATAACACTCTGAAATGAAACAAAAATTACTTAACGCTATTTCGAACTCGGTTAATTCGAAGTCCCCGCTATTTCGAAGGAATATCGAATTCTTTTGGATTTACCCTTATGTTTTCAGTCATTTACTATCAGCTATTTCGAACTCGGTTATTTCGAATTCCCCGCTATTTCGAACTCATCGTTCTTTCCCTACACCTTAAATCAACCCCAGTTAGTTTCGAACTTGTCAAAAACAGAGTACGAACATAAGAGCACAGCTGGAAACGTATTGCATTTTATTTAAGCTCGTGATACGTAATTAATGACTTAACAATGCTTGACTCACGTGCAGTGTCCCGCTAAGAAATTCCAGCTGCGTTATTTATTCAATTACAAAACCAAAACGCACTGTTAGTGAACTGTTCTTCCGGCCGAAATACTCATGTATGAACTCTGCTGTCTCTATTCTGATCATTCGACATTGTATTTTTATTTAATCAGTGCCTTTCTTCATGCTGTACTGTATTTTATTAAAAAATGATTCATTTTTATGAATTTTACGCTTCCCCGGTTATTTTGAAACCCCGCTATTTCGAACTTTTTTCCATTTCCCTTGGGACTTCGAAATAGCGGGGTTCGACTGTAGTCCCTTTTTTCCTCAGGATAGTTCAAGCACCATTATTATGCAAGTGTGTGTTGGAATTGGCACCAACAAAGAGAGATTTTACCTCTCCCTATACTATGGTGGCCCATGGAGGACACGCTACCTATAGTTTTATATCGCGTGATAAAAAAACAGTTTATCGCACAATAATTTATCGCGCGATAAATTGAAAATATCACGCAATAAATTGAGAATTATTGCGCAATAAATGCAAATTATCGCGCAATGATAATTCTCAATTTATCGCGCCATATTTTAGATTTATCACACGATAATTTTCATTTTATCGCGCGATAATTGGCATTTATCGCGCGATAATTTGGATTTATCGCGCGATAAACTGTTTTTTTATTGCGCGATATAAAAATGTAGGTAGCGTGTCCTCTATGGGCCACCGTACTATACTCATATCTCACTCACTCTATTATCCCTGAGGAAAATAACAACCACTTAATGTATCATCATCATCATCATGTGGGAAGTAAGGGAGCAAAGCATTTTTTAATGGTCTATGTCCTGCGCATTGATTGAGGAAGCCCTAGCCTTGGACCCCAATCCAGTTAGTTAGTTCTTACTCTTCTGCTCCTCTCTATGTCTCCTTGTATCTCCCTCATAACCAATCCACTGTTGCCATCTCCTTTTCACTTGGGTGCTGATTTGCAGTGTTTTTGCCTTTCATCTTACTACTTAATTTATCACCTTCAGTCATTGGCCAGTAGATCTTAAAGACCCTTCCACAACACATATGTTGGAAGTTCATGTGCCAGGTCTCCGAGCCATGCATAGAGCAGAATAGCAATCATGTTAGATTGAAAATTTTGCACTTTGCTTAAAAACTACTTCTGCCACATCTAAATCAATTTGTTGAATGTTGCTCTCTGATCACTTGTACTAGTCCATGAGATACCATGCGCCTCTGCTGTTTAAACCTACGAAACCATTAAATTACATCACAGTCCTGATAATGAGTTATCTTTGTCATCTTTAAACTTTACCTGTAGCTTCTCATGTAAATTTTTCCATCAACAGCAGTAAACTGAAGAACATGCTCCAGTCCCTGTAACCGCACTTTCTCAATCATTGGCCCTCTGAAAAAATCTGTAAGGTACAGGAATACAACGTTAAAGCAATTTTACAACCTTACTTAAAGACAATTGTACGACAGCTATATGCAGCTGGCCAAGAATTTTTGAGCTGTCAGTTTGTGCCCAGGGTTTTCATGGTATTTATGTCAGCTAGATAGGCCATTAAAAGGATGTGTGCCTAGGGAAAATACACCCTGTACATTCATGTATGGTACTGTGGGCAGGTAAGTTATCCTAATCCAGCCTAAGTTATTTTGTAAATGCTTTAGTGCATTATGTTATTAAAGAAAGGAATGAAAAGTTGGCTTTTCAAGAGAAGCTCAAGTAGCCATGGCACCCCTCCATCATGCAAACAGATTCCAATCCCAGAAAAAGTTGCGGAGGCTTGTGTGGCCAAGAGGTTAACACCTTGAACTCTGGATCTGGAGGTCTGGCTTTAAGCCTCGCTCGTCATGCTATTTCGCTAGACAAGCAACTTTACCCCACTTTGTCTCTCGCTGACATACTGCTGGGAGGTAACCTCGCGATGGATTAGCATCCCATCCAGGGGGAAGAAGCAGTACTCCTATGCAAGCTTTATGCTAAGGAAACTGCTATAAGCCTCAGCCATTTGGGCCTTTGGATTGTGTGCGCCTTTAGAGCAGCAGGAACACCATTTCATAGTTTAATCATATTCTTGTATGTATTTCACTGGCCGTATCATTAGCTCTAATACTCATTCACATTGATGTAGAACTTTTATATTTCCTTAGTTTTATTTATTTTGTACTTAGATTTTATTCTGAATCTTATGCTTTTTGTAATTTTAATTTAGATAGAGGGCCACAAGTTTACTACTGTAGTTTCTGTAACTATTCCGTGCTACCCTCTTTAAATAAAATGTATTATTATTATTATTATTATTTACCTTTTTACCAGAAAAAAGGTAGAAAGGAAATGCAGACATTGTTATTCTAAGACTAGGACCCTAACAACAAGATTGTGAATAAATAAATACACTGCAGTTTCACTCATACCCACCTATGAGGATATTTTTTAATCTTTTGTAAACTGCATCATTTTCAAATTCTTGTCCAGAAAATAATAAACAAGGTTTTGTACCAAATGAACACTTGAGTGTCTGAAAGAAACATACAGAAAAGATTTCATTTGATAACAAATTTGGCTTTTAAAATACTGATAAGTTAACCATGCTGTGTTTTGAGGGCTAGTAAAGAAAAACTTGCAAGCACCGAACATCGATGATTGTTATGCTAACGTAAATGCTGAGTAGGTAAATTCTTGTAGTGTATTAAAATGAACATGCATCAGTAATTTGTAAGGATCAGTATGATCTCCATTGAGTAGAGTTGTTTATTTCCACTCTATTTTGTTGTCAGACATTCTAAATGGGGAAAATAATTAACTTTATGAGCCACATTTACAATACTGTGCCAGTCTGGGAATGTTGGTTTTTGTGCTAACAGCATGCTCTAGAACTTAACCGTTTGATCACCTTAAAGGGCTCAAAAGTTGATTTACCTTAAGATTTGTGACCCACAATGAACACGTTACCTTCATGTAGATTGTTAGCTACTCTAAAATTCGAGTATAAATAAAGTTTTATGTTATGTTATGTTATGTTAAGTGGCTAGCTATATCAGCAGTACAAAAAATATATGGGGTGAAGCAGTGTATAGCATTTAACTGAAAACTTAGTACTAAGGTATGGTCCGTTGTCAGCTATAATCAGGGATCAAAAACATTCTTGTACCAGCATGAAAAATTATAACAATATTACAGTTTTTCTCAATTTAATATTTAACGATAACCTTACCTTTATTTTCTTTATTGATACAAATTTGTCAATGCCTAACTCAATCATGTCTAAAATATGACCATCAAAGCAGCGGCCTATCAAAGAACATAAGACAGTATTTTACTTTTATAGCATGAAGTGTTCCAAGGAATGAGAGTCAAGTGTTCCAAAGAATGAAAAAAGATACCTAAAACAAGATTGTGAGGTCTTTTCTTGGAATGTGACCCAAAGATAAATAATGAAGCATCATTTCTAACACTGAAGAATTCCTGAAAGAAGTTAAAGTCATTCTATATACAGAAGTACAGATAGGAAATATTTGCCTCCAAATAAAATTCTTATGCCTTTTCCCCCTCCTTTTGCAATTAGTAAAGTATTCCCAGTGTGCCTAGGCGTGGGGAGCAGGTAATGATGTGATGTTAGGATATACCCTGTCTACGGTTTAGCATTGGTCTTACGATCAGTATGTTCCTGTGTGAGTCATTCATCTCGGTTCAGTGGCAGATTAAGACATGGAAAAAGGCATAAATACTTACAAGTGAGGTGTGATCTTCAAATGGCCTCAATATATTTTTTCTGCATGAAAACAGAATTCACTGAATTTAGTGTATTGTCATACCAGTTGCCATAAAATTAAATTCAAGTTATTTATAATTCATGTATTACTCTTTTGATAAGAATGTACATTGTATTGTTGTTATTTAATTTTGCCCATCACTTTACCGGCACAGGTTTCTGCTTATGGGATTTGACCATTGATGGAGGTTCAAGGGTATATCAGACTGAAGTTGCTGGACTAGTTTCCAATTACATAGGGATTGCTCCTGTAATGTTTATCATGGTTTCAAAAGTACGGCTACATTTAGGAAACTACAGACAACTTTGAGTTACTGTGTGCAGTTGTTCCTACTTTGAGTGAACAGTACTCACAGTCAGTCTGAACTTTAAAATATTTTTATCTCCATTAAAAATAAATAAATTGAAGCAAAAAAGGGCTGAGACAATTTAGAATGTGTGTAGCTATGAACTACTAACCTCTGGAACATGACTGCATTGGGCTTCTTAAGCAAACACTGGAAAAGATAAAGTCTTGAATTAGAAGCAACAAACATGTGGAAGTCATCTTTTAAAGCCAAAATCAATACGTAGTTATCTTGTTATAATGTTTATCAAAGTAAATTGCCTTCACAAGGGGTATAATCACCATCATCAACCAGCAGTCTCAGTCATTATTCACAGGGATATTTGACACAACCCAATTCTCTATTTTCAAATCGCCCATAATACACTCTGTTTTCCCCACAAATTTTGTATAAGTTATGGTCTTCAAATGCTCTTGGGAAAATGCCGTATTCTCAGAAACATTTGAAAACAAATGTTTATGCAAAATTTGGGGGGCAAACTGAGTGTATTATGGGGGATTCGAAAAAAGCATGACTGCACCCCATTACCCTTTCACAGAAATTCAAAATCACAGAAATTTTGACCTTGATATCCCATAATAAGGACCATTTTAAAAGTGTCCCAACAATTTTGTCTAAGGTTGTATATCAATGTTTATTAATTTTAATAATTTCAATCACGTATGTTGACGCATTACCCTAATTTCTTTGTTCTTTCATAAAATTATTCCCTTGTGCACATAAGGTGCTCATACAGTCCAAATGGTTTTTTATTTGCATGTATACTGTTTCTAGATCACCAGCAACATGAATGCTTTCCATGCACTTTCTACACTGATGAAGTGAGAACATTTTGGATCTCTCGGTGCAAGTCTTGGCATTTTTAATTCAATTCAATTCAACTCATTCTTTTTTTACATACATATTTCTATTTAACTCAAACAAACATGTTTTCTTTCTTGTATGTTCCCTTACGGTTCAATCTCTCTGCTCTGCATTTCAGAATTATTGCCGCTTTGCAATAGGTTGTCCAGGTCTTATTGTTAGCAAGATCTATCTCGTGCACGTGTTAAGTTCGCTTTGGAAACAAGCCTTTAAATATGGCAACTATCACATCCATAAATGAGCAATGAAAAATTGCAAATTAGAAAACCAGGAGATAAGGGAATCCTATAAATCCCAAAACAATGACAACTGCTAAACCTTAAATCACTTACAGTATGACCAAGATCAAATTTCTCATCAAATTATTTACATTTAAATAAGCTACACACCATGAGAATGAAGCAAGTGATCATAGAGCGAAGACAGCGTTGATTCGTCAACAAATTGTTATCATGAAGACCATCATGTAAGAAAACCAGGGTGAAGTATGCAAAATTTGATGTCTGTTCTTATGCCCAAGGGGATACTCCAGATTTCAAGTGGTGGGAATGATCGAAGGATTTTGTTGGGGTTTGAAATTTTCGATTCCGGGAGTTTTTTGGCTGGGAAAATTTTGTAAATATCATTTTTGGTGGCTTGACTTAAGTAGGGATTTTTTGGGGTATTCAAAACAATCTGAAGATTCTTGGTACACTGTAGTTCCGACGTATCCCGGCTGCGTAGTTCTGCGAATAAAGTAAGGGGGTAAATTTTTGGTGGTGGTGGGGGGGGGGGGGGGGGGGTTGGAAGCCCTACGGATAGTTTTTGGGTTTTGATTTTTGCACCCATTCGATCATCCCTGTCACTTGAAATCCGGAACACCCTTACTGGGCTTTGATGTGGATTTTTAGATGTCTACAAAACACGTAAGCTTATCAGGAGTTTTCATTTCAGTGAGCATACGATTGACAACAAGTAATCGGCAATTATATATCTCGTGAAAATCAAAGTTTACTCAACAGCCTGGTATCTTTATTTACTTACAATATCTTTCATAGCCTGGGTAACAAGTTCACTAGTCTTGCCCCCTCGTAGAAACAGCGCGGTTTTTGTATTCTCGACATTCTTCGGAGCACGTTGTTCCAAAGCACGCTTGCCACGTTGTGTTTTGGGCCGCCTGTTTAGAAAAAACGATAACATGACCTGTTAAACTAGCATTAAAAAACGAGTCGATAAACACAATTTGAGAACAAAAGGAGAAATTCGATGTGAAAATCTTCATAAAGACAAATTTTCCTACACAACTCCTGGGGCCGCCATCTTGGATCTTCTCCCAGAAGGAACTGGAAACTACATTTGATGTCCCATGATGCCCCGCAACGCCCCTGGAGTCAAGATCTCGGAGCGGTTGCCAAGGACACTAGCATTCCCGTTATTTTATCACCAAAATTTCCGTCACCTCCCTGCCGAATAACGTTTTCTTTCCAAATACCGCATCCCATGCCAAGATTTTGGCGAATTTGGCTTCCAAATTTTGCCTTTTCCCCAGCCTAGTCCCTAGGCGTTCTCTCTCTCGGTGACGTCAGAGCTCACGGCAGAGTCCAGGATTGACCGAGCCGAGAACGCCTAGGGACGAGGCTGCGTTTTCCGGAATCCCGCTCTAGATTTCGGTCAAATCCCGGATCCCTAGAATACAACCATTCCAGACCAGCTAGGTTAGGGGATCCTGTCCAGACCCTGTATTCTGACTCCAAATCACACTCTACCACGAGCTACCACTAATTTACTTAGGCATCAATCAATTCCACCTGCGCCCAGCCCCCCCCCCCGGCAACTGCGGGGCATTTGCCCCCCTTGTCAGTCCCGGCGGTGGGGCATTTGCAAATGTTGCACTGCCCGGGGGCCGGGCATTTGCCAACCCCCGGGCCAATCCCGAGCTTTTGACACGCACGCGGTTTCCTATCAGGATATAACTACAAAGAAGGTTTTACTGAAAGAAAAGCAGATTGGCTCATCTGTCAAGGACAGGAATGAATTGTAGAGGGTTATAACGGCAAGTTCTCGATTTTACATGTATGTATGCATTTTCTCATCATTGCTTATCAAGCCAGAATTACGTAGCGAAATTGGAGCTATCGATGTGAATCAACGTTTTTTGGTTATTGAATCAAATTTCTGTTGATATTATTTGAAGAACATCCTTTCATATTTATAAAACTATTCTTAATATATAAATTTACAGCGCTCTATTAATTTTAATGTCAATAATTTTATACCAATACTAAAACCATAAACTGGTGCATGTCGTCGCTGCGCGAAGTCTTAATTAGAATCCTCGCGCTATTATTACAAAGGAAGACGTTAATAAAACCAAAAAATCACACATTAAAATGCTTAAAACGGCACTATTTGACTGTGCGATCAATAAAAAAATGTTGCAGTGTTGACGGAGGACGGGGCATTTGCCCTCTTTTTTCGTCCCCACCCCGGGGGATTTGACAGCTCACGAGTCCCCACCCCCGGGAATTTGCCATCCAAGGCAAAAAAAATGCTAATGCCCTGGAGTCAGCCCCGGGGGGGCTGGGCGCAGGTGGAATTGACTGATGCATTATGAAAATTTTAAATTCAAATTTTAAGAGCCCTTAAAAGATATTTTCTCGCGGTAAAGCTCTGGCCCTGAGGAAGGCTAATTTTGTTAGCCGAAATATTGGCCTATAATAAATCAGTCCTTTGCCGTAATGCCAGCCCTGCATTTAGTTTTGTTTTACTTTACATTTTAATTGACGTCTGGCTACAGCATCTCTTTAATTAGAGATTCGGCAAGAGGAACCAGTCAGTTATATTTACAAGTTGCGTGGACCTCTGCATTCAAACAGTTTTTACTAATTGTTAGCTGTCCATAGCAACAGCAACTTGCAAACTAATCTCTACTTGTACACGTGTTTGGTTATCCCAGAATCTTTCCTGGACTAAAGAAAAACCGTCACGTACTGCTGCCGTTGTATCTGGAACATTCGAGGAATAGCAACTGTCACGGGAATTTCTAAAAGTTTTCTGCACTTGACCCTTAAGAAAAAACAAACAAACAAACAATATAACAACAAAAATACTAAAGAAGCTAACGGTTATCTTAAACGTTCCACTATATATCTAAGCCAGCCTCCGACAGCAAATATTTTCTTTGAGAAATGCGGGCAAAAGTTGTCGTGCAACTATCATTCAACTTTTGTTGCCTTCAGTAGTTAATGACGCAGTTCAACGCAGTGATTGTGTGTCGGACGTAATATATTATTACTGAATCTAAAGTGGAACCTTTCTTGGCATGCAATGAAGTTTATAGGACCATCGTAAGCGAGAAAGAGATCAAACGAGACGTCGGAATTTGTTTTATAAATAATAAGGCTCTAATCAAGAATTTGCTGATGTAAAATCATGTTTCTGTTTTGTTTTGTTCTTTGATACTCTACGTGACTGGCGAGCAAAAAAATGACAGGAACACCATTTTTCCTTAGATGTTAAGCTTCCTTTTTGTTGGTCAAACCACAGATTTCTGAGACAATAGTTGACATTTAATTACACCTCTTAATGAAATAAGCTTTGTTCGTATTTTCCGACCAGTGGCAGACGGCTCGACACATATTTAGCTCTATTTGTTGGCCCCGTTTCTCAAACAAATTCACCTCATGGTTTCGACTCCATAAGGACGCGATTTTTACTGTAGGGCAGGAACAGAAACTCTGTATTGTAAAATGTGAGTTATTACTTCATTGAGAGGTGAGTTGGTAATTACGAACACCGTCCTTCAAAGGACAAAGAGGCTTTATTGATTCTTTTATTATTATTACTATTATTTTCACGAAACGTCATTTGCGGAATAAGAGAGTCGATTTTGGTCACACTGGACTCCTTAATGCGGTAACGTTTACAAGAACGTTACAACGTTATAAAAACGTGTTAACTTCAAAAGCATGCGCATGTCCGCTAAATGATTAGAAGCAACTTTCGAATGGACATAAAGGTAGTAAATGAGTAGATAATCCGTTTAAGAAAACCGTTTATTGTACTTTTGCCATAATTTTTGTCAATAATGCTATCATAAAAATGCTCTTTGTGGTATTACCTTTGTTATATTCCCAAAGGTTTTCCTTTTCATTAAACACTTCAGGTAAAGTTGGTCCTCCGTGATATTGCATAAGAGAGTGGACTGGCGTTGTGATCAGTCTAAATTTCCAAGCCATGCTCAAATTAAAGATGGAAGTTCCACGATGGAGTTCTGACATCGGACAGGCTTTTCAAAGCAACGCTATGGAAGACAGAAAACTGAAAGTTCAAATCAACCGGATAAATTCAGCTAAGAAAGAGAAATTGGAAAAGATTGACCAAGAAATGATGTCTTTAAAGAAGCAATTACTAGAGGATCGCAAACTTCTCGGTACACGAAGCGTTATCCAGAGACGCGAGAATAAGAATGCCAACATTCTTGTGGAGAACTCAGACCAAAAACATGTCTGTGTACAGCCCAAACTCATTGGACCACAAAAAGCAGAAGTCACGGAGAGTAAGTCTTTCAAGCCAATTCAAGAGCGCTCTCGTGATGAAATAGCTGTGAAACAAAATGATATTAGGATGAGGCCATCAAGACTGGTTTCAGTTGTGCGTGAAAAGAATGACAACTTTGGTAGAAGAGGCGTGTCATTTGAAGTGGAAAAGTTTGCGCCGTCTAGTTCAACTCCGGCACCTCGCTGTCGGGGCCGCCGTCATTCCATTGCAGAAATAAACCTTAGTGATTCCTTCAGCAAGATTTGTACACCACAAACGAGTTCAGGAAACGTCACGATAAGAAACGAACAAATAGGGAGTGGGATAACAGGAGGAAAATTAGATCATCCTCTTTTGCGTCAAAGAAGAGCGAGTCTACCTTATACCTTGACACCAGAAAGGAGAGAGAATTTGATCGCATCGCCAAGACTAAAACCAATCAGGTTTGCCCCAGACAAGCTCGCAGTAGATGAAAGCAAAGCAAACCCGAACGTAAAACTTGGGAACTTTAGCAGACACGTGGAAGGCAGTAATTTGAGGCGGAAAAGAAGGGATTCACTGCCAAACTTTGACAATTTTCCCTCGAGTAGAGATTCAATGGCAAGTAAGGAACGATTGACGGCTAGGCTTGTTTCTAGAACAAAGCCAGCAAATGCTAGGCAACGAAACATGTCACATAGTAAAAGAATCTCAGCTTTTGGGAGACAGTTTAAGAAAAACCCGACACCAGTAACCGAACGATCGAACGAAGGAGACTGTAATGAAGAGGAAGAGAGTGAATCGCTGGAAAGGATATCACAGGGCGAAGGAGATAACGACAAGGATAAAGAAACAGAAAGCGAGAAAGAACCGTCAGTTGCCCAGGAACTTTGTTTCATTCCTAAGGCTACACTGCAGGAAAAAATGAACAAATTTTTCTCGAACTGGGTGGAGGACTGTGATGAAGAAACAAGAACTGATATAGAGGAGCTTCTACAAGAGTTTAGAAAAGAGAAAAGGGAAGGACGACAAGATATTAACGAAGATATTGTAGTAGAAAGCAAGGGCACAGCTCAAGAAAGCCAAGAAAAATCTAATCAGTAATTTAAAAAGACTTTCTCCGCCTGAAAATGTCGATTAAACTAGTAAAAATCTCTCACTTTTTGCCATCAAGATCCACCGTTGAGAAGAACTTGAAATGATCCAAATAGCGGGGCTGGAACAGTAGCTAGATTTGTGTAATAAAGTTAGGTCTCTTCTAGAATATCCTTCAAATATGGTTTTGGTTTATGGTCAGGAGAGAATTCGGCCGTTTTTGTTTTTCATATGTATCGAAATTACTTTAAACGCATATTGCTTACCTTTGGGCTGAAAATATAAATAAGGTATTGCGCTTGGTATAGTTTAGTTACGGGTGTTACATAAGTGGATACATATTTTACAATTTTAAATGTTCCTGGACAAAAGTTATGTCAGTTTCCGCATCTTAAACTCGTGTTTCTGAAATTTAATTCTTTCAACAAACATCTGTGTTGATGAAAATAAAACACATTTTGATAAAAACAAAAAATATATATTTACATTGCAAAACTAGACGGGTGCTACGCTGACGGAAAATAAAAAAACATCATAAAAACGACACTTCTTCTTTGAAAACAAAGGATAAAAAGACGGATGCCGATAAAAGGATTAATAACTGTGAGAACAATATTAATTTAGTTTTCCATGCGGTAGCATCCAAAAAAATACACAAACTAAACAAATTTAGCTAAATTTGAGTTCACAGTTGAAAACGTACAGCTAGGATTTCACTGAGGAGGTCATTAATACGGACACTGGAGCTGCGTTAGAACCGCGGGCTTTCCATCTTTGCAACCGTGAAAGATAAAAACGGACATTTGCCCACAAATATATAATGCGCTATTTAGACACCTCATTTGAACGGAATTAGTTCTGAGACGCAGTTATATTGACTAAATAACTAAAACCATTTTTAAGTTATCACGTTTTACAGGGACGAAGAGCCATGTGTATAACTGTGTAATAGACGCGAAATGTATGGTTGAATATAACAGTCCTTAACTTAATTCACCGCGGCATTTGCCAATAAACTCCTGCGCACGAGGGAACTGTTGGATGGGTGGAAGGGGGTTGGGGGGAGTTTGAGGACGGTCTTAACAGAGGAAAACAATCACAAAAACGCAAAATGACTATTCTATGACAACCTTTTCACTCAGTTTTCGCACTTCCCTCCGTTGGCCATCCTATTAGGATTTGTGATTATTTTATTGCAACAGAATACAGAGAAAAAAAAAATGAAAAAAGAACGGTGCCGCTCAGGACATAAGCTGATAAAGTGTCGCTTGCTTCGATACATGAAAAACTGCACTTGTCTTAAAACAATGCAAAAAGTAGAAAGAAATGGAATGTTGCAATCGGCAATATGTGGTACGCTAATTATTAAAGAAAACTGAAGACAGCAAGAAAAGAAAAACTGACGGAATGAAATTAACGAAGGTAGTTTCGAAGTGTTTAACAGTAACGCATGGATTATCCAGATTTACTATCAAGTTAAAAACTGCTCTAATTTTGCAATGTTCAATTTGAGGCTCCCCTTGGACCAAGCACTACTTATGTGTGAGATATAATGAACAAGCATAATGATTTTACGTAGTTTAATCCTGATAAAACTGAGAAACTTCTCTGGAGTTATTCGGGCAACTACAGAAGAAATTGCCAAGTTTACTTTCCTTTTCCGCACACGTCGGTGCACTTGAAGTTATTTATGAGTCCACTTTTATTTAAGAAAATCATTAGTCCTCAGAGCTAGTCAACTACAGTATTTTATTCAAACAGCGGGGCAAAACCATGGGCACGAAGGCAAAAGCTTCTCCCCTCCGGATTTTTCACACGAGGCCACAAGTACAGTTGTATTATATAACAAACAAAAGAGTTAATTATAGAGCGGGTGAATTAGACATGGCTTAAGCGTTTATCCTAGGGGCTTTTTATAGAAAATCTCAGAGGACCATAGGTTATTTCTGACACAATGGACAGAATGGAGATGATATTAATAGTAGTTTGGATAAAGACCACAGATCACGCGCACCGTAGATTCAACAATATTTTTTTGTTGACTCTCTAATAGACTTTCAAAAAACCCTTCGTCCGATTTCCTCACTGGGCCGATTTGCGGCGTAAAAAGCTTGCTCAAACTAGCTTAGAAACTCCTGATAAGCTCGCTTCGCTCGCTTTAATTCGCGAGGTCGAGTTGTGCCTGGTCTAACTTTCCAAAGACTCAAACCAATAGTGACTGTTGTCACTATGGATATTATAGAAACACTTAAATCAAGTTACCGCTCCTAATTAGGACAATAAGGGCTGGCCGTTTATGAATTTAGCTCTTGCCCAGATTAGCTCTTTTTGTTATGTCTAACTCAATAAACCTCATTTGCATTGTTATAACAGTTGGTATATTAGTAATTAACCCTTCGAT